CAGGCGGATCTCTGTGAGTTCAAGGCCAGCCTGGTCTACATAGCATGTTCCAGGCCAGCTGGGGATACAGGGAGACCCTGTCTCAAAAAGGCAAATAAATAAATAAATAAATATAAAGTAAGGGCTAATGGGGTTGGAGAGACAACTCAACAGTTAATAGCGCTGGCATTTCTTGGAGAAGACCTAACACACCCACATGGCAGCTAACAACCATCCATAATTCCAGGTCCAAGGGATCCTACACACTCTTCTGTCTTCCACAGGCATTGCACAACACAAGTGCACCTACATACATGTAGACAATGCATTCATACACATAAAATAAAAGAAATGAAATTTAAAATAAAATAAAAGGATAAAATAAGGACTGATAATAAACATTAAATTTGGTTTCTTTAGAATTAAAATTAACCAATTCCCAGAAAGTAGAGAATATGTGTAAAAAGAAAGAAGGATATCTTTGGGGAATTGAGGGCTTCCAGAGCTGAAAATACTGTGATGCATCTGACAGAGAAGCTATTAAAAACTTTGGAGCCAACTTGACAAGTCTCCTGCTTGCCAAAGATGCAACAATTAGAATTTCAGAAAGGATAATTAATTGTATTTATTGATTGAAACCAATCCAATAAGTAAAATGCATTTACGATACTTTTTAAAGTTGATTTATTACTTCTGGAAGCTGACAGAACTAGTAAAGAAGGGATGAATCAAACCTTCTTGCCTTTCCTGTGTGAACTTGGTAACCAAATAGTACCTGAGAAGAAACTTTTCCTTTTAAAATTATTCCAGCTTGTAAATGAAAACAACCCTGTCTCTCTCTCTCTAGAAAGAATTCAGTACTGAAGCCATTAAGTGAGGCAGCAGTGTCATAGTAGGGAATCAGCACCTAAGTAGCATGGGGTGGAGGCTCAGTAGGAGGAAAGAAGCTTCACATGGCTGTGACCTGCTTTGAGGTGCCAAAGCAGAAGGAGCAGAATGAGTGGGGCCTCTCTAGAGGGACATCTGATGAGGGCTAGGGCTGACAGTGGCAAGCAGCATAAAAACTCAGTAGGTGAGGAACATTAAAGAGCCCCAAGCCCAGGCAGGGACATGGAGTACACATGAACAGATGGACAGCATGTTCCATGTTCTGGAAGGAATTGGCAAATATGTAAATATATTAATAATGGTAAAAAAGCCAGGCTGATTATTGCTAGAGATAAGAGTTAAAAATATAGCCAGGGAAAAGAGAAAAACTTCTGTGATAGAAAATACATAGATAAATATACTTATAAATGTGTGTATGTATGCAAAATAGATTGCATGCATACCCTAGCTTTTCCCACTGAAAGTCAGTGCCTAGTAGTAGAATAGTTGATAACATTAGATACATCTAACATGTCCATCTAAGTGTGTGAGTTGGACAGTTTTTTAAAAGAGAAAATGTTGTATTTTCCCATAAGAGATGCTGGCAAGCAAAACAAAATGTTCATTCTAGGAATAAATATATTTATACTCAATTCCTTTAATTTCACACAGAGAAGAAAGTTAATATATTTGTGTTTTCTGTCCCTCACACTAAAAAACGTTAGTACCTAGAGTAGGCTGAGTCTCTTTTCATTCACTTTTATGAATCTGCATAAATTCTGTGGAACCTTCCCACCCCCTGATATTACTGTGATTAAAAGTTAGAGTCAGGGGCTGGAGAGAGGACTCAGTGGTTAATAGCACTGGTGGTTCTTGCAGAGGACCTGGGTTCAATTCACAACACCCACATGGCAGCTATCAACTGTCCAGTTCCACAAAACTCCAATTCCACAGTGATCTGACACCCTTTTCTGGCCTCCATGGGCACTGCATGATATGGGTACACTTACATATATTCAGGCAAACCATTCATGCACATAAAATAAAAAATTTTTAATTATTTTTGAAAATCTGAAAAAATTCCAACAGCTCTAAGCTCTAATTTGTCATTGGATCATGTGACTATAAAAGAATCTCTTTAAGGGACCCTAACTTAAAAAGAACTTTTTAAATTTTTAAAAGAATTTTTTATTATATGTATATGAATGTTTTACCTGCTTGGAAGTGCACCTCTGTGCATGCAGTGCCTGTGGAGGCCAGAAGAGGATGTCGGATCCCCTAGAACTAGAGTTAAGAATGGTTGTTTTCTGCCATTTGGGTGCTGGGAACAACCCAGGTCCTCTGCAAAAGCAGCCAGTGCTCTTGACTGTCGAGCCATCTTTCCAGCCAACCCTTTATTCAAATTTTTAAGAACAAAATGTCCATCTTCCAGCATTCTTCACAAAGTCATTTATCTGACAGATTCTTCTCATGTTCTAGGCAAGGAGTTACACCATCTCTACTTTTGCTTTTTACCCTAAAAATCACTTGCCAAAAATAACCCAAATAACAATTTCTGTGTTGAAAGTTGCATTCTCTAAGCTACTTGGGAAGATACCAATTTCATCTTGACCTCTGCAACACTCTATAATGTACATCAGAATCTGATGTTTTGTTTTCTTGAAAGAGCCTGTATTATCTATGGTGCTTGGGAATGAGATAGACGTTTAACTCATGTTAACAAAGAATCTCCTTCTTTGGCAGTCTTCCTTGTAGGTAGATTCATATGAACCTCAGATTTGATTTAACTCAGTGAAATAGAAACTCCTTTCATTCTGTGAATTAAAATGGTCCTTATGCTTCCCTAAGTATTCCTGGTTTTCAGTGGAATGTGAACATTCTTGGTAAGAATACTGCTAGCTTCTGTTGTTATGGCTAGATATTCAGTTACACAGTGTGCAGACATTATTCAGCAAAAAAAGCAGAACTGGGTACTTATCTATCATACAGTGGAGTTTGCTGCCAGGATTCTACATGATAAGGTCAGTAGCTAGTATCAGATGGGAGTCTAGCCCATATTTGATTAGAAGGAAAATTATGCTGCTATTATTTTATGTTTTGTATTCCTCTCTTTTTTAGGTTTAGAACTTTTGGTAATGTATAGTAATACTAGTTGACCATTTACTCTGTACTCTGTAAGTGTGTATAAGTGAATGGTGTTAGGTACTGTCTCTGACCTTCAAAAACTCTAAAAGGATCTCTCTCTCTCTCTCTCTCTCTCTCTCTCTCTCTCTCTCTCTCGCTGTGTGTGTGTGTGTGTGCGTGTAAAGCAAAAAATAATTAAAAAGAAGCGGAGGGCACAAATTTGACAGTGCGGGGGACATTGGAGGATTTAGAGGGGGTGGAAATGATGTAAATACAGTACTCTGTATTAAATTCCAAAAAAAATTAAATTACAAAAAATTCAACTTGAAATTCAGTGCCCAGTATATTGCATTTTCTCAGTAACCACATATAGCTAGCAGTTGGATAGTGCAAATAAACAACCTGTCTGTCATAGACAGTTCTGCATGGGAAAAGCACACAGTAAACAGCTACTTAGATGAGATTTAATTCACTTGTGATGAGTGCTTTGAAGGAATAGCCAAAGTAGAGAAAGTTGCTTAGTAACTCTATGCTAAGAACTAAGAGAGATATAGGAAACTCTCAAATAATCTGAGGGGAAAACACATTTCAGGAGGAAATGGAGAGCATTTGCAAAGACACTGAGGAAGGAGGAGAGAGAGAAGAACAGGGAGAGGGAAGAGAGGAAGGAGGGATGTTATAAAGACAGTGGGACAGTATGAAACAAGTATGTGGGGACCAGGAAACTGAGCAGATAAGAAATTCAGTGAGATAATGAATCTATAATCCTCAGTCTTCCACACTATATGACTTTCTCTAACAGTGAACAATGGAAAAGACTCATGGATGTTTTCACTGAATCAACTAAACACAACAATGTATTCATGGCCTTGATCATGGGAGGAGCAAAGTAATCATTATTACCGTGGTGGGGGCTTGTCTAATAGAAGTAACAAATGGAACAACAGAGGGAATGTGAGAAATTTATAAAAATGTGATTACAGTTATGTCTTGTGGGATCTGCCATTTTTGAAAATTTTGAAGACAAGAAGAAAGTAGATTTGGGGAACATCTGGGATACCATCTGGTGACTGTCACTGGGTGCTCAAACAAGGAAGCAGAAAAGAGAGGTGACTACAAGAAGAAAAGGAAAGCAAAGCACAGGCTTCAGAGAAGCAGACCACAGTTTCCTCTGAGGAACCTTAAAATCCAGATAATTTGTGATATTTCTTGCTAAAAAGCAAATGAATATTCCATTGTCCACATAACTAGCACCAAACTGCCTCTAAACTGGAACATGGGAAGTTTGCAGCTCTTATAATAGCCAAGCCTACCACACAGATTTAAATCGGAATGTGAAACCTGCTCAGGTTCTTACATTCATGTTCTCTGTCATCATCCTTTCACTTCCCCCATCCCCAGCTCTCATTTAGTTTGGGGATCACACAAACAAAAACTAATGATATCAGTTACTCCAACTAATGGATAATATTGTCTTCTAGTTGTTTCATTACTGAGGAATGGGTTAGTGGTCCTAAAATTGAAGAGCTACCAACCAGTGAGTTGTCTGGTTTCCCTCCCCTGTGTTCTCAATAAAGAATTTCAAATAGAGTACTCAAAGTAACTTATGTTTCAAGTGTTGAGGAAAAGAACATCTATACAGTCTAAAAATGAATATATATGTAATTATATTTATACAGTTTAATTAATGTAATTTTTTTCACTTTGTACTGAAGGCTTCAACGATTAGCCAAAGATCTTCTAAAGCAACTACAGGTACAAGACAGCGGCTCATGGGCAAACAATAAGGTTTCAGCTTTAGATCGGACCCTAGGTGAGATCTCTAGAATCTTGGAAAAAGAGGTATGTACCAGACCTTTGTCTCTTGACCCTTACCCTTTATGACAACTTCTCATTATAAGAGGAATAAGGCAAAAATTCATGTCTTTCTCCTGTGTTGTTAAAGGCCAGCCAACAATTGACAGATTTTAAAAATTTTGTTCTTTTCAATTGTTTCTTTCAAAGTTTTTTTTCATTTGTTTTAAGTGAAGTTCTGTTCACATCAGGGTTTTCTTAATCATGGCTTTCCCCATACAACAAGTGAAACTGTTTAATTAGGACTCATAATTGTACAGAGATTTAATTTTATGGCAGAGAAGACAAAATTTTGAACTATATAGCTCATAAATCACAACCAAATAGCTGTAAAACACCAATTTCTTCCACATTTTAACAGACTTGACAGTTTTCTTTAATAACTTATACATTATTAAATCCCTTAACAACACTTTAAAATCTTTACTATTTTAATGGTATTTATTACTCATACTATACTCCCTCTTACAGCATCAGTTAACAACATGTTACTGTGTTTTCCTCTAATCCTTGTATTGTGCATTTTCTTATTATCTGACTAATTCCATCATGCATGTTTTTAAAATTTCTTTGTAACTGAATGAGCACATTTTAAGTTTTCTAACATTTAAAGGTGAATTTTTAATTCCAGTTTAAGGTTATGGCTATCTGTGATTATTAGCCGCAATTTTTTTTTTGTTGTTTTCTGGGTTTAAAGTATATTATGCAATATTTAATATACATAGAATTACATAATAATAAAAGTAGCAGTGGAAATGTTGTGACTTTCCCACACAACTGAGGAGATAGACTGTTGCCAGTATAGTTGTAGTTCCTGGGTAATCCTTCCTTCTCTGAGGTAATTATACAGGTATAATTCTGTGTAGAATTAAAGATGTGGAGGCTGGAATCAGTGGTTAAGAGCACTGTCTGCTCTTAAATAGGACTTGGGTTCAAATCCTAGCACCCACATGACAGCTAACAACTATCTTGTAACTCCAGACGCATCACTTCCTTGGTTGTAAAATAGTTTTATTGCGAAAAAGCAAACAAACAAAGAAAAAATACTATAAAACAAACACTTCAAAAGCAAACCAAAAAAAAAAAAGTTTTATTGCTTGGTATACAATTTTTCTCTCTTTTTTTTGGTCTTGTCTGAAACAGGGTCTCACTATATAGCCCTGGCTGGCCTAAAACTTGCTACGTAGACCAGGCTGGCTTCAAACTCACAGAGATCTGCCTGCTTCTGCCTCCCAGGTGGTAGGATTTTTTAAAAGCCTGTTCTTCCATGCCTGATAACTTTTTCTTTGTTAAATAATAGTATGCTATTTAGGTTTGTGTATTTAACCTCTATGAAATATTATATCATAGACTTCTGTTATTAGTCAAATTTATGGTTCTAAGTTTTATTTAGTCTTATTAGTGTAGCTGGAATTTTTTCATTCATCTATATTATACAGTAAATAATTATGTTACTACCACATATATTTATCTATTCATCTGACATCATAACCACTAAAACACTTATTAAAATACATAATGGATTTCTAATAAAGTAGGTTTAACATGGGTTCCACAAATTTTACAAATTTTAATTTCTAATAAGTTCCTATGAGATGATGATGTTGGTCCAAGGACCTTACTTTGAGAATCACTGCTGTAACCTGGAGCATATGCCTTATATGTAGAATTGCTAGGTTCTCAGATACATTAATGGCCAACTTTATGTTCAGTTGTAGCTTAGTATAGATAATACAATCCTCTACAGGAATCCAAAACAGTATGTTCAGTATTGCATCTGGAAGAAACACATAGTGATTTCCACTCTAAAACATCCCTTTCAGCGTGTCGGAGCGCTCATAAGCTGGTATTTGTCAGACATGTGCTAGGAAAAGTATTTAGAAGTTTGATGTGCCGGGGGGAAAAAAATCAGATTTCAAAATTACTAAATATTTATTGTTTTTATAAAGAATAAAGGGCAATGATACTTTGAATTAAAAGGTGTTTGTTTAAAGATACCACTGTTGTATCTAATCTTAAAAATATTTTGTTAGATTTAAATAGTCAAAGAATTTTTAAGGAAAAAGTAAAATATTCTGTATAAGCCAGGCGTGGTGGCGCATGCCTTTAATCACAGCACTTGGGAGGCAGAAACAGGCGGATCTCTGTGAATTCAAGGCCAGCCTGGTCTACATAGTGAGTTCTAGGATAGCTGGGGCTACAGGGAGACCCTGTCTCAAAAAGACCAAAAAATAAATAAATAAAAATTTTCTGTATAATAAAGGTATTTTATATAAATGTCTTAAGATTATTTAATTCACAGAGGGGCAATTTACCAGAATACCACTGATTCCATGTAAGTTCAAGGGAAAAAAAAATGTAGTCTGGCTCCTAGTCTAAATGGTCTGTGTCAAAAACCTTGCTGTAAAGCTGTCCTCAGAGGATACACTGGAGGACCACCTAAGAGTTTTAAATCACCCACAATAAGATTATTTTGCTATTTTTATAACTAAATTCCTTTTCACCTGGCCAAGACACACTCACTTTATAAAGACTTCTTTTCTATAGAGTTACACTGACATTGCAGTATAATTCAGTTGATGATATTTATGATTCCAGTCTAGGAATTGTAAATAACCATTTCTTTTTGTTTGGAAAACTGCCTGGAGTAACAAAACCATTAGAGCCTAAGCCAAGGGCTCAGAGAAGGATCTGAAGCCAGCCAGTAGTAGTGACAGGGTGGGACTGGTGGGATGGTGAGAGATGACTCCTGAAGAAATGACTCTCCTTGTCATTTAGACCTTAAAGCACCAATGTTTTTAAATATAGTTTCCTTAGTTTTTTTTTTTTTTTTTCTGAAGTTCTGAGGAATTTAGAGCTAACAGGTCACATTTGTTATGCACAGAAGGTCTTTTGTAATGGAAGGAATCAGAAAACTGTGCATCAGGTTCTTTTTAGCTTTTTGGGTTCTCTCAGTTCAGAAATTAAAATTCTAGAAGCTCTATTGTATATGTTGTACTCTTAAAATATTAGCAACTTCTGCTTATATATATGTTGGTATAGTATACATTTGCATCAATATCAAAAAAAATCTGGAAATGGGGACAGGAAGTTTAAAAAAAAAATCAAAGATCTAGGAAGAAACTAAAGATCTTTTACACCAAAGAAAAAGGAAGAACTTACAAAGTTGTGCTTGTTAACTAAATGTCCAAGAGCATTTACCAGTCTGGGACAAAGACTGAAAAAGTAAAAGTCTAAGGGCTGCTGAGGTATGAGGTCTAAGAGAAGATTTTCCAAAGTTTCCCCACAACGATGAGACCACTACAGCCTGCTCCCTCACAAAGTCATGAACCTTCTCATTCTCTCTTAGAGACTCTTAAAAGCATCTTGGCACAGTGCAGAAATTGTAACCATAATTCAACCCTAAAGTGGATTTGTAGTCCAATTCACAACATTTCTGTGGTGATTTGAATGAGAATGTCCCCTATAAGCTCTAAATAGTTGAATGTTCTATCCCCAGTTGGTGACGCTGTTTTGGGAGGTTTTAAGAGAGCAGCATGCTGGCAGAAGCACGTCACTAGGGACAGGCTTTGAGAGTTCTTAAGCCTTGGCAGATTTCCAGTCTCTCTCTCTCTGCTTCTTGTGCTTGCTTGGAGATGTGCTTTCTGTTCAGGCCACCTCAGCTGCCATGTCCCCCCTCACCATTATGGACTCTTACCCCTCTGGAATTGTAAGCCAAAGAAACTTCCTTTTATACGTTGCCTTAGTCATGATGTTTTATCACAGCAACAGAAAAGTAACTAAACAACTTCCATTATTTCAAATGGTAAGTTAAATTTCCGGTCCTCTGTGAGATAGATGAGTTGCATTCTTCATGATAAAATTAAATATAGATCTTTCATCCTAAATGTCAGTTAATTCCTTTTTTATTGAATTAACTAATTAATTGATTGTGTTATGTGTTCTTGTGTGTGCATGTGACCAAGATGTGTATGGGGAGGTCAGAGGACAACTTGTAGGAGTCACTTCTCTTCTTATACCATGTAGGTAGGTTCCAAAGATGGATCTCATGTTTGTTAGACTTGGCAGCAAGTGCCTTTATCAACTGCCCCATTTTCTAGACCCCCTCAGATAATTTCTATTAAATAATGTTAGAAGGACAAACAGGTACTGTGAAACAAACAAAATAAGCATAAAAGCAAGTAAGTCATGATGAGTAAAAACAAGAACTTGTAACTGCAGGCTTTATCATTACTAGCCATAGATTACTAAAAATACACTTGCTAATTTTTAAGAAGGTAAAATAGCTGGGTGTTTTGGCACATGCCTTTAATCCCTGCACTCAAGAGACAGAGGTAGACCGATCTCTATGAAATCAAGGCCAGCCTGGTCTCCATAGTGAGTTCCAAGCCAGCTGGGGCTCCAGAAAACAGACGAGGAGGAGGAGGATCTGACCCTCCATAGCCATGTGGGGGAGGGGAGCCTCCAAGTCAGTTCTCCCAGAATCAACTGTCCTTTTCTTGAAGATAGAATCCTGCCAACCAACAATAATACACCTGTGTGAAGTATTCCTACCTTTGGTAATGCGTGATACAGACCTCATCTCCAAAGGAAAAAAGAAGAAGAAGAAGAAGAAGAAGAAGAAGAGAAGAAGAAGAAGAAGAAGAAAAGAAGGAGAAGGAGAAAAGAAGGTGGTAATGCGTGATACAGACCTCATCTCCAAAGGAAAAAAGAAGAAGAAGAAGAAGAAGAAGAAGAAGAGAAGAAGAAGAAGAAGAAAAGAAGGAGAAGGAGAAGGAGAAAAGAAGGAGAAGGAGAAGAAGAAGAAGAAGAAATACAAGCTCAAAAATAACTCCAGGAATGGACTTAATAGCAATTAGAAAGTGGGTAATTGAGAACTGCTCTCCCACTAATGACAGAGAAAATTTAACTGGAACTCAGTTGCTAGCAAGGTAATGAATTGTTGGGCCAGAGCCCAGGAATGTTGTATTTGGGTGCTGGGTTCATTG